CTGGAACTAACTCTGTAGACCAGGCTGGCCTCGAACTCAGAAATCTACCTGCTCCTTGCCTCCCAAGTGCTGGGATTAAAGGTGTGCGCCACCACTGCCCAGCCATTCTTTTTTATAATATTAATTTTGAGGCTGGAAAACAGCTTAGTCAGGGGAGTGCTTGACCAAGCAAGGATGAAGACTTGAAACCTAGCTCCAGCACCTACATTAAACAAAACAGTGGTACTCGCCTTTAATCCCAGCACTCCAGGGGCAGAGGCAGGCGGATTTCTGAGTGAGTTCCAGGACAGCCAGGGCTACACAGAGAAACCTTGTCTCAAAAACAAACAAACAAAAACACAAGTTCCAAGCCACATCATAGTGAGTGAGCTGACTTAGCAGGTCAATCTGTTTTCCACTTTGATGGACGTAGAAAACATGCTGAAAGAATAGAGATGACTCCTGCAAGCTGTCCTCTGACCGCCATAGGTGTGTCACAGCACAAGGAAGGAAATGTGAACAACCGTATGGATATACACATAAATGTGGGGGAGGGGACTCGTAGGCCAATCCCAGTCTTAAGGAAGCAAAGGAAGTCAGATACCTGGAACTGGCTGGCCAGCCAGAATAACCAAATCAGTGAGCTACAAGTTCAGTGAGAAACTTTATCTAAGAATGTGTAAAAAGCATTGAAGAACACACCCAACATCTATCTTGGTTTCCACAAATGGATATGCACACACATAAAATATAGACATGAGTACAAAAACATAAAACCTACAAATATGTACACACACATTAATTTTCAACACCAACAACTGTAAGTAAACTATAAAAAAGTACTGCATTTGGGGTGAAAGGTATATCATCACCTTTAATCAGCATAAAATTACTTTATTTTTAAAGTCAGAGCCTTTCTATGTACACCTGGCTTTCCTGGTACTATATAGAACATGCTGGCCTCAAAGTCACTGAGATTAAAGGCATACACCATCACAGCACATGATGCTAATGGTCTTTAAAATACTACTATCTAAAAGAACATTAAATTTTAGTTAGAGAAAGTTTAATGTTTCAAATTTTGTAAAATCTGAGGCAAGAGGAATTACTGTGTGTTTTTTTGTTTGTTTTGTTCGTTTTTTTGTTTGGGGGTGGTGGTGGTGGTTTCAACCTGGAACTCACTCTGTAGACCAGGCTGGCCTTAAACTCTTGAAATCCACCTGCCTCTGCCTCCAGGTGCTGGGATTAAAGGCACGCGCCACCACTGCCTGGCTCAGGAATTACTGTTTAATGGGTTCAGAATTTCTTTTTTCTTTTTTTTAAGATTTACTTTTGTTTATATATATGTCTTTGTGCCCTAAGAGGCCAGCAGAGGGCACTAGATCCTCTGAAGCAGGGGTTGTGAGCTGCCAGATGTGGGTACGGAAAACTGAGCCTGGGTCCCTAGAAGCAAGTGCCTTTAACCATGTTTCTAGAGCTTCAATTTCACAAACTGTATGATAAAGAGTTCTGGAGATATATGTAGTGATGTAACATTACTATGTGAATGTCCTTAAAAATACCAAAGAAGGACCTGCAAAATGCTTACTGGGTAAAGGCACTTGCTGTTAGGCTAGACATCCAGAGTTTGAACCCTGGTGTCCATATTGTGGAAGGACAGAACCTACTCCAGAAAAGCTGTCCTGATCTCTGTAATAAATAAGCATCACCCTCAACAAAAACCTATATTATAAATTAAATTAAAAGAAACTTTAACATGAATGTCAGTTGTTCGTGCCTGCAATCACAGCACTTGGTACTCTTAAAAGCTGCCTCTAGTCTGGGCCATAGAGACTCGGCCACAAATAACTTTTTTTTTTGGTTTTTTGAGGCAGGGTTTCTCTGTGTAGCCCTGGCTGTCCCGGAACTCACTCTGTAGACCAGGCTGGCCTCGAACTCAGAAATCTGCCTGCCTCTGCCTCCCAAGTGCTGGGATTAAAGGAGTGTGCCACCACTGCCCGGACTCACAAACAACTTTTAATTAATAAACTTACCAGAACAAATTTTTTAAAAGCACATAGAGTATTTCAAGCAACCTAGCCTATACAAAAATCACTGCTCCTTTATTAAATGGTTAATGTTATCAGAATAAAACTCCAATAGAGAGAAATTCAATTTTAGTGGTCATTAAAATGCCAAGGGCGTTTTATGGGAAAGGAAGTGGTGACCCATGACTTTAATCCCAGCATTTAGGAGGCAGAGATAGGCAGAGCCTGGTCTACATAGCAAGTTCCAAACCAGTCATGAGCAATTTTAAAAAAAAAAAAAAAAAGGTTACGGGCTGGGATACCAAGTGGCAGAGTGCTTGCCTAACACCTGCGGGGCTCTGGCTTCATTCATCAGTACTGGAGTGGGGAAGTTGAGGGGCAGAGAGCAAACATCCTAGAACTCAGAATTTAAAGAGGATTGCATGTTCTAAAATTTCTCCTTTGTAACCCCTCTTGCTCTCAGGTGTTTCCCTCGATTTTCTTTAATTTACATGCTTACTTTCTCTCTTCCCTCTCAAAAAGTTAGAATTCAGCGTCAATCTCCATTAGCTGAGTCAGGGGGAGCAGAGGCAGTTGGATGTCTGTCATCTTTCTTTTTTTTTTTTTTTTTTGTTTTGTTTTTCGAGACAGGGTTTCTCCGTGTAGTTCTGGCTGTCCTGGAACTCACTCTGTAGACCAGGCTGGCCTCGAACTCAGAAATCCGCCTGCCTCTGCCTCCCAAGTGCTGGGATTAAAGGCGTGCGCCACCACCGCCCAGCGTCATCTTTGTTTTTGTTTTTATCCTCAGAACCCACATAAAAGTGGAAGGAGAGAAATGACAACGTGGAATGGTGATCTGATCTACATGTACACTGTGGCACCACACATACACCAAAAAAATCGTTTTTAAGTTATGAAATATGTAAGATCACAAAGTAAATCAATTATATTGAACAAGCCATTATCAAAATATTGAAAAGCTGTTAATATGGTAGACAAATCAGGGCTTTTTTTTCTCGTTTGTTTTTCAAGACAGGGTTTCTCTGTGTAGCTCTCGCTGTCTTGGAATTGGATCTGTACACCAGGCTTGCATAACTCACCTGCCTCTGTCTCACCTCCCAAGCGCTGGGATTAATGGTATGCACCACCACCACCCGAATTCTAACTGGTTTTAATATATTTCAAGACGTTAATTTTCAATAAACTACATGAGAAAATGATAAACTGAGTCAAAAGTGACTAATGGGCATATTAACTAAATCTACATAGTAGTTTAGTGGAAAACACAGTAATAATTCGGCCAGGGCTCAGGAAGCAGAGGCAGTCAGATCTCTGGATTTGAGGCCAGCCTGGTTTACAGAGGGAGTCCCAGGTAAGCCAGGCTACCCAGAGAAATCCTGCCGGGGGCAGGAGAAGTGGGGAACCCAATATTTGTGCAGCAGGGTAATTCCTAAAGAAAACTAGCCCTGCTTACAATAAAACCTCATTTCTTAGTCTTTTCAAAAATAAGGTGGATTTAAATTAATAACAAAAATGAATACAAAGATTGAGTCCAGTGTTCAAAACTTTTAGTGGTCTACTTCAAATGAATACATACTACTCCAAATGAATACATACTACTGACCTTCGGCATACAGTAATTAAGCGTCTTTAACGCCTAATTTTAGGATCCCAAACTATCAACTACATAAACATCAAGGGAGGGTAAAAGGTAGAACAGTAATGAGGAAAAATTAGAGTATATAAGATATAAGGAGGTATTTACTTAATATACAATACACGTGTTTGTGTGAAAATGTCTTTATGTAACACAATACCACGTACAACAAATATACACAATGAAAATAAAAAGAATTGCTTATTTACTTTATGCCAGACTATCAGGGAATAAGATTCTCCCACCACCAGTTCAATACACTCTCCGCCCCTAACTTAGCCCCAGCTTCCAAGTCCATTATACAACCTGTGATTCCTTCCCTCATGAAAAGATTCTTTTTATGGGCATAGTTAACAAATGCCAAGTTGCAAAGTTGCAGCTTTGCTGGATTGACGTTTTCACAATGTAAGAACAATATGATCTGGAATCTACTCAAAGCACTTGCCAGGCAGTCAGCTGATGCTCACTCCACACAACAGGGCAGAAACGAGAGAAATTAAACTTCGTGTCTAAGACAGGTAATCACTACCTTGAAATCTCAAACCGGCGGACGGCAGACGTTCCGACAAAGCAGTATTTCCACCGACCCAACACCACCACAAAACCCCGGCTCTCCCTGAGTTTCTCTCCTGGTCGTTTTCCTTGTTAACTGGCTCCTAACAGGTTCGCGGAATCAACCCGCACCACGCAGCCGCAGCAGCCCGAGTAACTTTTACAAAAGGTCAGAGCGGTGCCTTTCAAGGCTTTCCGACCCCGACCGGGCTTCGCCGTTCGCGCTAGCTCGCTTTCACCCACAGAACGTTCCACAGCTGGAGAACGGGACCCAACAAAATTTTGGTGGAGCTCGGGGGTCGGGGTGGGGAGCTTTCTACTTTCTCTTAAAAAGCACGCCCCTCCCCGGTTAACCTCACCACACCCGCATTTCCCCTTCTCCCGCGCTCCCACATGTTGCTCGCCCCGTCCCAGGCCGCCCCGCGAGGCCTCCCTCACCCCCCAACGCGCCCACCTGATCGCCCTTTCTCCGCAGGCTCCGCCCCCCCGCCCCCGCCCGCTCGCCTCCTTCAGGAGCTCCATATGGGACACCCCGATCTCCCTCGGCTCCTCACGCCACCTCAGCCCAGCCCCCGACACGCCGCCTTCCCTTCCCCGCCGCCGTGGGCCTCGACCCCGCACAGCCTCCTCAGGCGTGCGGAGCGCACGGCGGGGCTTGCAGGCCTGCACCGCCCAGGTGCTGTGTCAGCCTCTCGGCGGGCTCCGCGGCGTGTACGGCCTGGAAAGTCACATGGCGGTGGGACCGGCCCGCGCCCCTAACACTTCAGCTCTTCTCAGAGCCGGACCAGACGACCTAAGCCACTCACCTCAACGAAGAGCAACATGTCTGCTTCCGCTCGGCCCGATCGTTCACGCTGCCGCGACTCCAACTGGCTCACAGGCCCGGGCCCCAATCGGTAGGATAAGGACACTCGCCTTGCCCCTCCACCCGGCAGTGGACCCGGCTCCTCCCCCGCCGTCAGCCGCTGCGCCCTGACCCGCCCAGTCCCGCCTCCCTGGAATCAACAACTGTTTCCGGTTCTGGAGGCAAACTGCTTCCGGGAGCGGAGCACCCGCCCACCCCCTGCGTGCTTCGCGCTGGCTGGGTCTTCTCTGGCGGCGTAAGCGAAAGTGTGTGGTCCCTGTAGCGTGTGGGTAGACGCTCCGGAGGCTGCGCCGGTCTGTGCCACGGGATGTGTAAAACGCTCACTGACGCATTTTTACTTTTTAACCAAAAAGCTGACCGTCGCACTCCTAACGCTTGCGCAGCTTCGTAGTTCAAAACCTAGGTCGGATTAAAAGGCGATTGAGTGCGCCCGCCCCTGCTGATGACGTACTGGATCCCCTCCCCCATTAAAAAAAAAAAAAAGCTGTAGTGGGAGCTAAGAGACGATACAGCCACTCTATATTAATTGCATCCTACGTGCTTGGTACTGTACTAAGCGTTTTGCATGAGTTAATCTTAAGACCCTATGAATATATTGTTGAAGGAGTGCTGCAGCAGAATCAGATCCGTTTAGATACTTTAATAGAACTTTGCTCCAGGCCCCTTGGAATCAGGTCTTCATTAACACGATGCTGCTCCGCTGCGATGCTTACTGCACTACTAACTAATAATAATTAGCTTAGATCTCTTCTTTATTGTTTCCACAGTCAAACAAAGTAGTATATAGATATTTTAATTGTTCTTACTAGAGTTACTCTTCCTTTACCAGTTTCTTTTGCTCCAGTTTCAAACAACTTTTTTTTTTTAATTTAAAAAAATTTTTTTTTCTTTTGGTTTTTTGAGGCAGGGTTTCTCTGTGTAGACTAGGTTGTTCCTGGAACTTGCTCAGTAGACCAGGCTGGCCTTGAACTCACAGAGATGTACCTGTCTGCCTCCTGAGTGCTGGGACAACACTTTAAAGTGAGGTTTTCATTTTCATCAACTGTTGCTTGTTTTCTAAGCCTTCCTTTTTTTTTTTCCAGCTCTTTAATTAAATACTGTATATGTGTGTCTGTGAACCAGGTGTGTGCAGAATTGAACCTAGGTCCTCTGCAAGAGCAGCCCATGCTCTTAATCACTGAGCCATCTCTCCTGCTCTCCATTAAGAAAATAAGATTCATTTTTATTATCTTTAATTATGTGTTGTCTGAGTATAAATATGTGCACATGAAAGACGGGCCCTGAAGGCCCGTGGCCACAGATTCCCCTGGGCATGGATTTAAGTGGCAGTGAGCCACCAGGTGTAGGTGCTTGGAACCATCTACAGTAGGAGTGTGCTCTTAATATCCAAGACTTAAGAAGACTGACTTTGTTGGAGCCCCAAGATCTTCCTCTTATCCTTTGTACAGATTTATTTTCATTCTATACGTATGGTTATATGCCTGCATGCATATATGTGTGCCCTCATGCATGACTGGGAACTGAACCTGAGTCCTCAGCAAAAGCAACAAGTGCTCTTGGCCACTGAGCCATCTCTCCAGTCCTAACCTTTCAATTCTTTCCTTTCTATGTTTCCTTCTTTTGCTTTCTCTCCCCCCTCCCCCCAACCCCCATAACAACATCTTGCTGTGTATTCCTGGCTGTCCAGGATCTCATTTTGTAGACCAGGTTGGCCTCAAGCTCAGAGGCCTGTGCCTGCTCAGAGATGGGATCAAGGCGAGCACCACTACACCCAGCCCCGACTTTCCTTTTCTTAACCCATATAATCCCCTTTGCTTTGCCTCACAAGAGATTCACTTTCTCACATTGATACCCAACTCTACTCACCAGTAAGTTGCTGATACTTATGCTTTAGACCGTCCTTAATTGGCTCACCAGCAGACTCCCATTATTTTTTTTATTTTTATTTTATTTTTAGAATTATTTATTTTATGTATGTGAGTACACACTGTTGCTCTCTTCAGACACACCTGAGGAGTGCATTGAGTCCCATTGTTACTAATCTGTTGTGATCTGTACAAGCTGCGCGTGACCTTTCACCCATTGCAGATGGTTGTGACCCACCGTGTGGTTTCTTGAACTCAGGACCTCTGGAAGAGCAGTCAGGGCTCTTAACCACTGAGCCATCTCTTCAGCCTGACTCCCATTTTTTTTTTTAAATCTCAATCATTAAACTTAGTTGCAGGATATTTGATCACACTGTGAACCCTGAGATTGTGTTATTTACTGGAAAAACCTGTTTCTAGTTGTGGTGTAGCTCAGCCCTTAGCTTTAATCCCAAACAATGAAGATAGCTTGTAGAAGGAAGGACCCATGTTTGAAAGTGATGTCTAATTGAGTGGCAAAGCGGAAATCACAGAACAGGATGTGCCCAGTTCTCACAAGAACAGACAGGAAAGGGAAGCGACTCGAGGAAGCAGTGCAGAGAGGGGAAAGGGGCAGTTTTACTGGGACAGTTGTACACAGGTTGGAAAGAACAAACTAGACATAGGTGAAGACAGAACAAGCCAAAGAATGAGAAGGAGCCAGAAGATTAGAACATGTTGACAAAGTTAGTTTGAGCCAAGCAGAGTAAACCAATAAGAAACTGAGAGAAGCCAGTCTGAATCGGTCAACTTAGAGAGGAGTTTGAGCCAGGACAGCTGAGTTAACCGGCCACCCTAAGCTCAGAAAGAACTAGGAAAGGGTGAGCTTATTCCGAGACAAGCGTCAGAAGCAACACAATCTAGGCCTAGATAAGATTGTACAGTGGCTAGAAGCTTCCAGGACTAGGCCTAGGTTAGCAGACAGAGACAGTAAGCCTCAGAGATGACATTTACTTCAGGCAAATAAAAGTTATATTTACAAAACTCTGTCCCACTAGGATAGAAACTTTAGCACTTACCTCCAAAGCCATGATACCTCAAGGCATCTTCCCTATTTGTCAATCAGCATCTCTCTCCGTCAGGTTTTTCCCCAAGAGTCTGCCTCACAGATCTCTTCATGTCTTTTGTTATTAGCACCTTATAATTTATCTTAATTTCCCCCCATTTTTAATTTCTTCATAAAAACCCTGTAGTATGGTTTAGGGTAATGGCAGCAGCATAGTAATATCTCAACAGATGTTTTTCAACTGGAAGGGAAGGGTTTTAAAACTTGTTTTTAAAAGGCTTCATATGCAGTTGCTGACTAATTCCATCCTACATGGGAAAGATACAAGAGTGAGAGAGAAATAGTATTAAGTTAGTTCTGTTGACAAGGCTTTGTGAAAGGCTCCCAGAGGAGCTGTACCTTTCTGTAAAATATAAGAGAGTTTTAAAACTTTCATAATTTGACAAGAGTAGGAAGTTCTGAACTTCTAAAAATCCTTAATAAATAAGTCTGCACTATAATCTACAGTGACTGTAGGAGTCCGGGTGAGATCAACAGTCGCAGCCGGAATTCTGGATGTTAACAGATGTGCATATGGAGAGATGGCCACTTCTAGTCAGTTTCTCTGGAATAGCTAACAAAAAGCATCCTAACTGCAAGGGAAACAGAAGTCAGACCCAGCGTGTGCTCCTGAAATTACCAACTGGTGCTCACAAAAGGACTCAAACTGCTCTTTAGTTCTGTGTGCACACTGGTACCATTTAGGAAGTTATTTGGGAACAGAGAAGGCAGTCACAACCTTTTTTTTTTTTTTTTGGTTTTCCGAGACAGGGTTTCTCTGTGTAGCCCTGGCTGTCCTGGAACTCACTCTGTAGACCAGGCTGGCCTCGAACTCAGAAATCCACCTGCCTCTGCCTCCCAAGTGCTGGGATTAAAGGCGTGCGCCACCACCGCCCGGCCCTTTTTTTTTTTTTTTTTAATGAGGTAGGGTCTCATTCTGCAACCCAGGATTAACCTGAACTCTAACAATCCTCTAGCCTCCTCAGCACTGGAGAATGGTATTACCAGTCTGAGCCACCGTGCCTAGTTGACAATGGCATCTCAAAGAGAAACACTTAATTTGGTCTGTACGTGTTTATTATCTTTAAAAGACAACTGCAGCCGGGCGGTGGTGGCGCACGCCTTTAATCCCAGCACTTGGGAGGCAGAGACAGGCGGATCTCTGAGTTCGAGAGTTCGAGGCTAGCCTGGTCTACAGAGTGAGTTCCAGGACAGCCAGGGCTCCACAGAGAAACCCTGTCTCGAAAAAAACCAAAAAAAAAACCAAAAAAAAAAAAAAAAAAAAAAAAAAAAAAAAGACAACTGCTGTTGGGCCTGGTAGAGCCTGTCTATCATCCTGGCTACCTGGGGTCTGAAGCAGGAAGATCAAGAGTGGAAGACCTGGGCCAGTGAGATGGCTCAGTGGGTAAAGGCTCTTGCCACTAAGCCTGGAAACCCAAGTCAAGTCCCCAGGAACCACACATAATAGGAGAAAAAATGACTCCCACAAGCTTCACACACACACACAGACACACACACAAACATACTCACACACATACACACACCAACACACACATACACACACACTCATACACACACACACACACACACAAACACATCAGTCAAATCAGTAACTATAGTATGTAATTTTAAAAAATTAAATTCAAGACCAGTCTGGGCTACAGAGTTAACTAAAGTCCGGTACGCTAATTTAGCAAGAACTGTCTCGAAATAAATTGAAAACACAGGGGAGTGGAGCTGGGCGTCTAGCTCAGCGGTAGAGAGCTTGTGGAGCCTGCATGAGCCCTGGGTTCAGTCATCAATAGTGTGCAGAAGGGACGGGGGAAAAAGATAAGCAACTACTTCATGACTCTGGCCTCTCTCTCTCTCTATGAACTAAAACACCTACTTTGTGTTCTGTTCAAATCCTGAGGAGACTCAACAGAGGACTAATTTTACAATGTTTCCAACAAGGAATCAACACAGGAAGTTTTTGTAGAGACCTTAAACTATACAGCAATCATTTTAGAAAATGTGTCGACCCTTTCAAATGATACTGTAAAGATTGAGTCCATAAACACAGTAAAACTATGTAAAGATAGACTAGGTCCGGCACTCC